AACATCGCCACTGGGGAGACAAAGGCGGCCGGCCGTGGTAGATACAAGTCCCGGGCGAAGCCGGGTAGTACAGCTAGTAAGTACAGAAAAGTATATACATAACCCCTTTACCTGTGTGGCACAATCATCCTCAACCGTGTTCTATCCACTGCTTGAGGAAGGCAACACCAGTGTAACATGCATCGCTCCAGCCTGCGATTGCATTCTGTGTTGAATTTTATTAGGAGTTTGTCCGTGAGCATCCAGTCCAATTTAATTTATAAATTCTCTCTTTGAACTTCGTGCAATTTTTTGTTTGTTCTAAATGCGTTCATTCCCGTCACGTCACTATCTGGCACAAAATCTGACATCTTTATACAAGGGATCATGTTTGACATAACCACAACACAAGTAGTCAAAAATGCAAACAAAAAGAGACAACTCTGATAATGATATGCACTGTCCTTGAAATTGCTTGGTCCACACCCGAGACGGATTTTCGTAGAGCCTCGTCTCAAGTGCATATCATTATCAGAGTTGTCTCTTTCTGTTTGCATTTTTTACTACTTGTGTTGTTGTTATTGCAAACATGATCCCTTGTATAAAGGTGTCAGAATTTGTGCCAGATAAAATGGTAAAAACCCATTACTATATCTTGCTACTGGCAAAGGACACTTCCCGTTCATCATCACGATCCATGGGCAGATCGCCCGTAGGTGTCCACTGCACATGTCGTCATTTGTTTCCACCTTCCGCTGTCTTGTGCCAACATGCTCAAGGAGTGCCACATCTGTCTGACGCTATATTTACCAATCACCCTCTCATCTCCCTTCACCGACCTTTGGCGTCATAGCCACCTAATGTGTCGTAGTGTGTTTCACCGCAATTTAGAAGTTAGCTCTTTTCTTCGTACATTGGGTCAATGTCTGCTTCCGCTAGGACGGTTGTTGGACCATATATTCTGGTATTATTCAACTTGTAGTGCTTCTAGAGCCTTAACATTGGCTATATCTATAGTTCCAGAATACAAAGACCCTGTAGGTATGCATTTTGAACTTCTTTCGCGACGTACGTAGCCAACCTCGCTAATCGGAGGTGCGGATACTTCAGTAGTGGCCAATCCACCAAGCACTGTGATGATCCGTTGTGGTGGGCCTCAGTGGCCTACGCGATGATCCAGCAGAAAGCAAAGACCAACAATAACCCGCATAGATTTAACCCTGTGATGCCGATGCATTTTTCAATGAGTGATGCTACTTCATGTAACTGGCTTTCATTTAGTGTACAAAACACTATTTTTACACTATTCTTTGGGTCTTTCGGTAAAGTCACGTAGATAGGTTCAAAGAAAATAACAAAAAAATCATCCTGATAATTGCTTGTGTTGCGCAATCGTCATCCTGATGACGATTGCTTGTGTTGCGTTCGAAACGTCGTAGATTTTTTGTTATTTTCTCTTAACCTATCTACGTGACTTTACCGAAAGACCCAAAGAATATTAATTCCTGCAGTCACGAATGCTTTAAGTCAATATTTTTCCACTGTTTTTCATCTGCCCTGCCACAGTGTACTGCATATGAATAAATAATAATAGAGAGGTGGCTAAACATATCTTATTTGCTACCGATCAATACAGCCCGATTTATACCCTCCCGCTTTACATACTTTCGCTATGACATACTCGAGATTTACGAACTTAACCATGAAGCGACACATTTTGTAAGTTCCAGAGCGAACATTCTGGCGCAGGATGGCACCCAACCGATGGCGCCCATGCGTACCGTATGTATGGCAACTTTTTATACAAGTATCAACTATTTTTATATGATAAACTAATAATAATACATATACTATAACAGACAAGGTAATTTATCGTAATATATCAATAATGTACACTTATGAGAATAGGTTTTCCCCTTTTTTCTGGCAACAAATCAGGTGTTAAGATGTTAAAACACCAAACTGAAACCTTTTACAAGGAATCATGTCTGCATTAACCACAATACTTGTGGGCAGAATGCAAACAAAAACGTACTCTGATAATAAAGGCATTGTCTTTGAAACTGATTGGTCCACAGCAAAATCTCTTGTGATCCGCCACCCGTGCATCGCCGCCAACGTATTTGGCCACTGGAAAGAACTTTATCTATTTTAGCTCTACCAATAGTGGTGCCAGGATAGGTGCACCTGTCTTAACTGTACGGTGTTTTGTAAGTTTATGACAGCTGTCTTCCATTTGTGGCTGTACCTGAACGGGTGCACCTACATATTTTTTTAGAGCTGTACAATACAGCGGTGCTTTGGTATAGGTGCCACCGCGTCATAGCCGGTACACACACAGACTGCTGCCGCCGGCTATATAGCGCACCAGCAATCGTGCAGACGGGTGGTGAGGGTGTTGTATCTCGAGGCGTCACCACAGCAACGTCTGTGCCAGAGCTGTGTTACCACTGTTAAGAGGATGGCGCGCAGTTTCGGAATTGTGCTTCAGTGTTTTGCCGTAACTAGGTACTGGGCTGTGTAATGTACGTGCGTATGTATGTTGAACTTCTTTCGCACCGTACGTTGCCAACCGTGCTTATTGGAGGTGCGGGGGAAATACTGTGTTGTGCCTTGCTGTCCGATTGTATAGTATTGTATTGTTTTGTTTACTAATGTTATCCAGCGTTTTGTATTTTATTCAACAACAAACAGTTCAGTGGGATGCCGCCATGGTGTGATGGTTATCAAACTCGACTTGCAATCCAGAGGTCGTTGGTTTAATCTCCTGGCACGCCAGTTTAATAAACAGGCATGCTTCTTAATCTCTCCACCTCAGTCCACCCGGCAGTACCAATGGGTACACACCACAATTAGTTTATCGCCACAGTGCGTGCGGTGGAGTAAAGTGGCGAGATGTTAACTACTTCGCCTGGTATACAGGAGGTCATGGGTTCGACCCTGACACCTGCTGTATATTTTAAGTTTGCCGGTCTTTCTCCCCATGCTCGCGTGGTTTTTCTCCGGGTCTTCTGATTTTTCCCCCCACATTTAGAATTAACATCACGTGTTTAGAGTATTTGGCTGCTATCAATTTCCACACGATAAGCCACTTCACTGAGCTATCATTTGTGGCCAAGGTCGCTTCTGAAAAAGAGCTACATAGTTCAGGGGGCCTTATCTGGTAAAATAAAAGTAGTTTAGTTTCTAAGACGTGGCCAGTTGGGAAGAGTAGGCCAAATACGGTCGAGAGGGCTCTAGAGCTCCTACGTTTGGAAACCTTTCTGGCAGCAGTGGTGCGAGCAAGCAATTTCCAAGGCTGCACCTTAACCTTTGACTAACTTTATTGCCTGGTGAAGTTACATTGGTATGATTGTACTATGCTGTGTTGGTTGTTGGCTACACTACATATCGTGGTTATATTGCCATCCGTAGATTGCGCTGTGGTGTACTATATTAACATGTGTTAAGAATATCGTGGCAACAAGCGAAAAGAAAAACATCGATATCAATTGATCGCAGCCAATTGTGTTCATTAAAAGCGCATAAATCACTACGCAGCGGTGCATTCGATGGGCAGTACGAGATGTGTGCTCATTGCCTAGTCCCACAATCCATAGCAGCAGTCGTGTTGCATGTTTGCTCGGCTGCCCGAAATGAATTCCCAAACAGCTCTGAATTATGCGGCTGCTGTGGCTGCTGCTGCCCAGCTTTCATCATCGGAATATAATGCCTGCCTGAGTGCCGCTTCATTGCACACCACGTGACTGGCCATGACTCAGCCTTGCTTGAAGAATGGCAGCAGCAAGCAGCCACAGCCTCAGTCTCAGCCTGTCGTGATGCGCCTGGCCTGCCGTCGGGTCGATTTACCCGATTTACGTAACCACGATCTCTCCCCAACCAGGGATCTCCCCCCCTTCGCCGTGCACGCCATCATAAACATCTTCTGTTGACGTCCTAATGCGCAATTTCATTATCACAATATGATTTTGCCGACGTTTCAGTACATCGTCTTGTACAAGTACGTTCATGAATGTAATGTCACGGTGCTAAATGTATGGCTTACAGCGTGCATATAACAAACTGCGGTGTAATTGAATTAGAGTGATGACGCTATTAACTTGTGTGGTTGATGTTGTATTTCAGTGTGCCTGTCCATTCATTCGCATTACCGCGCTCAAGGTCAATACAGTGCTTTACAGTATAACAAAGTATTATGGCTAAAATTATGATTTGTATCAAAAACAGTTAATTTGGGGATTTTAACAAAGCCATAATATAAAACAAAAATATCTGAATAAGCATGCGATGTTAATTATAGTCGTTATGGTTTTGCATGACATTATAAATACAGATTTTTTTTCAGATTCCAAATTCGGGGTACCGTTTGCGTTTTGTGTCAAACAATTGATCAACTTCATCTCCTCCATCATCACCACCACCACTTCCAGCCATCTTAATTGTTCTGTAGCCCAATCAACAACAGTGTACGGGTGCCAAGCCTTGAGCGTCCGTGAGGTCCGCTTCCACTGAGAACGGGGAGCCTCGATAAATAATTCAAGCGAACTGCACCGCAAGTGGCATTCCCTGAAACAGTGCTTAGCGCGGAGGCGGAAGGATAATCCGCTCCAAGGGGCACCCACCCAAGGCTGGCTCACAGCACGATGCCAACAGCCACAGCAGCAACGGTCCGGGAGACCTCTCTCACTCAGGTTTTTGGGATGGGGTGATGAGGGTAATGATTATAGAGTGTGAAAACGGGGAGGAGGCTTGGGACAATTGGTGCAAGGTGATACCGCCTTGATGTTGGTGCTATACGTTGCCAACATCTGTAAGCACTGTACTGCACTGTCCTTGGTAATTGCAACTTAAAAAATCTAAAAGCCAAGCATCAACCATCCTTTGAGGTGTACATCACACAAGTGTACAAACACATTTTGTTGCCTGAAGCTCTAAATTAAGCCAGACGGATCGAGTGATCTAACCATGGTACTGTGGTGTAGTGCGGGTTTATCGGTGGCCAGAGCAAACAGAAATGTTACCGGTGGGAGGCTTCTGTGGCTCTAGACGCCCAAGGCAGTAGTAGTGAGATTGAGATGTCCTCCCCGTCTCTGCTCTGAACGTGAACGTTCCAAACACATTTCCTCTAGCACCGCCACCGCTGGCAGGCGTCTTGATGACAAAACGGTCTCTTCTGTCGGACTGATACTCAGCGTGCTTGTGCTTGCCACCATCTGCAACATGTGCGACAACACACAGTCCGTGAATAAATCACACAACATATAATTTAGAATCAACATGCGTATATTTGGAGTCTGCATGTACTTTGCATGATTTCTCTCCGGGTCCTCCGGTTTTTCCCTCCACACTTAGCATCAACGTGCGGCTTAGAGTATTTGGCTGCTATATATGTTCAAATGATAAGCCACTTTGTCGAGCTATTATTGAGCTATTATTGGTGACCAGGTCGCTTCTGAAAAATAGCTATATAGTTCAGTGGGTCTTCAGTGGTAAAATAAGTTTTAGTTTAGTTTTCATAATTCGTTTAATCTATTCTTCAGAAGCTGCAATGCGCTCACGCATTTCCAAGGTTAGAGCTTACTTCAGTAACCAGTGATAGAATGTATGGCATGTCATACACGTAATACAGTACACGTTTGTTATACTCGGACTAAGCTTAATGGAACAAGACTCATAAACATAGACCACATTTTGTGCTGGAGGGAGGACTGCAGAATATCACGGCAGATTTTTGTGCGATATTTTTAAAACACATAGCGTGTACCGAGTAAAAAAATTAAACTATCCGCTATATAGTAATGTAAATAATAACAATGTACTTCCCTTAGTCAATACACTGCTGGCTAAGAGCCTCCCCATGCAGTATTGGTCATGGGGGGTTTGATGATAATGTACGTACACTAACATCGCCACGATGCCAATTCAGTGCCAGTCTGGAGAACGCAGGGTTGGCAGGCCTGGTTCAGGTATCGCTCGCCACTGATGTTAGCCATGGCTGGGAATCAAAACTCGGTCAAGGGTGGCCAGTGTTGCTCACCACTGTTCCACCGCTCCACACGACAGCAAAAGTACGCAAGCTGCAATGGCATCCTGCAGCACGTTGTGAATGAGGATGTCACGTACTGCAATTAGTCTAATATGCCAGAAGCAATGGACACAAATCACAATACAATTTCAGATATGTGTGTGTATGTGCCATGGCTGCTATAACCTGCCTCCAACTGAAGACTGCATTCATCCTCTTACTCTCCCCGTAATGTCAGCGAATGCATTTATGAGCACTCCACCGCTCGAGTGTCATCGTTCAAGAAGCCAGGGTGCATTGCCAGACGTGACGATGATGATGCACACTGCAACGGGTGGGTTGTTATGCTGCACTGAATTATTCTGCAAGTGTGAAAGTGTCAGTAGTGTACGGCAGAGTGCATGTAGGATGACGCCATATGGACACTTGCTGCCGTGTTTAGTGCGGTGTGCAGTAATGCATCTGGATATGTTTACATTGCTCTTCAGTGCCATGAGTAAAGAAAACAATTCTGATGATGCGTTTCACACTCTCTTCACGGAATCCTCAGTCTTATGGGGTTAAGGTCGCAATGACTCGAATGCTTAGATAACTCAAAACGCTATTGCTGCAAGTTTATCAATCCATCCACGAGTCCGTATTGCACTATTACCGCACACCGCTCTTTAACACACTGGGTCGTGTTGACATTCACGAAGCGTATTGAAAGCCTTGAGCCACCCTATGCGACGCGGATGCTCATTGCAGGACAGGGCAGCATTTAAATGCAATCAACCACTGCGCCCTGCACATGCATGGCGACATATTTATTAGCAGGAGACCCTTTAAACGCCAGCGGAGACCCTTTAAACGACGTAATGTGGCGGTGGCAGTCCGGGCTTCGGCAAAAGGGCAGTCATGCCAAGTGTCCGTGTCACACACCTGGCTCTGATCGTGACAGCGGTGACTGGCTGTATGACAGGCAGCAAGCAGCAGCAACATCATCACAGGGCCTTGTGGAATCAATCGCACAGCATGCTAAACAGCTATGAAACGGGTCATATTGCTTCGGCAGTAAGAGCTATGATAGTGTTTGCACCGTTGTTGCTAGGCTATTGCTACTGCTGTATTCTTAGCGTCATTGCTAGACAATTGCTGACACTGTAGTGCTTTGGGCAGGCGGGTGCTTATATATTTACCGTATTCACAGTCGCAGCGCTCAGCGTGTGCATGTTTAATGAAATTCCTCACGGACGAAATGAGACAAATGTACAATTGGGTACGCGATACAGATACAAAGGCTTAAGTGGTGTAAGCTAGTCAATCGCGCGTGTGTTAGTAGCGAATGATAACAATAGCCTCGTACACCTTACGCACATTGGCCAATATACAAGCCCCATATCGTGCAGTCGGAGCCTGATCCCCACCACCACCGCCACCACCACAGACGTAGTTAGGCGCATCGTGCGTAGACCCCCGTCTGCGATAAGGACATGCAAGCGCACATGCGTGCCACCACGTGTGTTACTACTAACGCGCACGCCGTGTCGCTCATGTGCACCGCCGCCCATCCCTCTTGGATGAGAGTAGGAATACGAACATCCCCTTCCACGCGCGATGCAGTGCGCCTCCCACAGTCTCCACCCTCTAACCCCCATGCAATCACCGCGGCGTCGTGGTCGTGGTGGTGGTGAGGGTGGCCCCGTGCCCACCGCCCTCTCACCGAGCAGTGGGGGGCCCCGCTCCCCTCGTGCTGCTCGCCGCTCCGCTGGGGTCGCGGGGGGCCCCGGGATACGGGAGCGTGGGGGGCGCGGGGGGCGCGCCGCCGCCTCTGCAGCAGTAGGCAGCAGGAAGAGCAGCAGCAGGAGCAGCCTGCGTGGGAGACGGGGAGGAGGGGGGGCACCTCTTCCAGAAGCTCCCAAAGACCGAGCGGCAGCAGCAGCAGCACAGCTACATCACCACCAAAGCAGCAGCAGCACTACACCACCACTACACCACCATTAGCAGCAGCACTACACCACCACTATACCACCATCAGCAGCAGCACTACACCACCACTACACCACCATTAGCAGCAGCACTACACCACCACTACACCACCATTAGCAGCAGCACTACACCACCACTACACCACCATTAGCAGCAGCACTACACCACCACTACACCACCATTAGCAGCAGCACTACACCACCACTACACCACCATTAGCAGCAGCACTACACCACCACTACACCACCATTAGCAGCAGCACTACACCACCACTACACCACCATTAGCAGCAGCACTACACCACCACTATACCACCATCAGCAGCAGCACTACACCACCACTACACCACCATTAGCAGCAGCACTACACCACCACTACACCACCATCAGCAGCAGCACTACACCACCACTACACCACCATTAGCAGCAGCACTACACCACCACTACACCACCATTAGCAGCAGCACTACACCACCACTACACCACCATTAGCAGCAGCACTACACCACCACTACACCACCATTAGCAGCAGCACTACACCACCACTATACCACCATCAGCAGCAGCACTACACCACCACTACACCACCATTAGCAGCAGCACTACACCACCACTACACCACCATTAGCAGCAGCACTACACCACCACTATACCACCATCAGCAGCAGCACTACACCACCACTACACCACCATTAGCAGCAGCACTACACCACCACTATACCACCATCAGCAGCAGCACTACACCACCACTACACCACCATTAGCAGCAGCACTACACCACCACTATACCACCATCAGCAGCAGCACTACACCACCACTACACCACCATTAGCAGCAGCACTACACCACCACTACACCACCATTAGCAGCAGCACTACACCACCACTACACCACCATTAGCAGCAGCAGCACCAATACACCACCACCAGCAGCACAGTTACATCACCACCATCAGCAGCCACACAGCTACACCAGCAGCAACAGCACCACCACTACATCACCACCATCAGCAGCAGCAGCACTACACCACCATCAGCAGCAGCCACACAGCTACACCAGCAGCACCACTACACCACCATCAGCAGCCACACAGCTACATCAGCAGCAGCAGCAGCACTCACACCCAGCGACTCTCCAACGCCTCCCTCCCTCCCTCTCGCACAGCCCCCGGGCAACTCCGCCCCGCGATGACGCGAGCCCGGCAGCGCGGCGTCTCATCAGTGACACCGCCACCACCACCAGCCAACACCACACCCAACACCACCACCAACACCACCACCAGCCAACCCCCAACACCACCACCACCAGCCAACACCACCACCAGCCAACACCACCACCACCAGCCAACACCACCACCAGTCAACACCACCACCAGCCAACACCACCACCAGCCAACACCACCACCCAACACCACCACCACCACCACCCAACACCACCACCACCACCCAACACCACCACCACCACCCAACACCACCACCACCAGTCAACACCACCACCAGTCAACACCACCACCAGCCAACACCACCACCCACAACACCACCCCACCCACCACCCAACACCACCACCACCACCCAACACCACCACCACCACACACACCACCACCAGCCAACACCACCACCAGTCAACACCACCACCAGCCAACACCACCACCAGCCAACACCACCACCCAACACCACCACCACCACCAACACCCACCCAACACCACCACCACCACCCAACACCACCACCACCAGTCAACACCCAACACCACCACCCAACACCACCACCACCACCCAACACCACCACCACCCAACACCACCACCACCAGTCAACACCACCACACCCAACACCACCACCACCAGTCAACCCACCACCACCAGTCAACACCCAACACCACCACCACCACCCAACACCACCACCACCACCCAACACACCACCACCAGTCAACACCACCACCACCAGTCAACACCCAACACCACCACCACCACCCAACAAAAACCACCAGCCAACACCACCACCACCACCAGCCAACACCACCACCACCAGCCAACACCACCACCACCACCCAACACCCCACCACCCAACACCACCACCACCAGTCAACACCCAACACCCACCACCACCCAACACCACCACCACCACCCAACACACCACCACCAGCCAACACCACCACCACCAGCCAACACCACCACCACCACCCAACGCACACCACCACCAGCCACACACCACCACACCCAACACCACCACCCAACACCCAACACCACCACCACCACCACCCAACACCACCACCACCACCACCACCCAACACCACCACCCAACACCACTACCCCACACCACCACCACCAAACACCACCACCCGACGCACACCACCACCACCAACACCACCACCACCCAACACCACCACCCAACACCCAACACCACCACCACCACCACCCAACACCACCACCAACACCACCACCACCCAACACCACCACCCAACACCCAACACCACCACCACCACCACCCAACACCACCACCACCACCAACACCACCACCACCCAACACCACCAACCATCGCCACCATCAACCACCACCACCACCCCACACCACCACCACCAAACACCACCACCCGACGCACACCACCACCACCAACACCACCACCACCCAACACCACCAACCATCGCCACCATCAACCACCACCAAACATCGCCACCACTCTGGGCTGTGGAGCTCGCTATATTATATCAGCCGTACACTCAATTCCACCGAGGTTAATTTACTCGGTTCGCTAACGACGCACAGTACTGTAATGTGTCTACGTGTACAGCGTTTACACGCACACACATATAAAATGTTGGTTTTCGATGTGTTTATTTTTCCAGTTATGAGCATAGACTCGTCGATATATATGCCAACTTCTGATATGGTATTACCCCCAGCAAGATCACAGTCACAATGCGTAGCGGTCACACGGTGTACGGGTAAGAAATACACGACTATCAATGCACGTGCTGGTCCATGAGGATAAAGGTCATTACAATATTTTAGTTGTTTAATTTGTGCCCACAAATGCCCTGAAAATGTGTAATCTCACAGGTTAGTGAACAATTATTCCATTAAATAAAATAATGAACAAATGTACATTCATGATTGCGTAAATATCCACGGTCCTGCAGCTATTATTGCAGTTACACGGTGCGTGTGTACCCTGCTGCAGTGAATGACATTGTAGAGAGCTCTCTGCTGCCCCCCCTGTTGCACCACGCTGTGCATAGCTCATGCTCGAACCCAACGACGCAATGCCCCATCCACAAATATGAAGGAGACTTCACGGCGATAAACTCCGCTACTGCTCCTGCTAACGCCGTTAATCTGGCTCATACTGGTAGGAACCTCCTGGTTGCACCAGCCCATAGGGGATTATTGTGTCCGTCCGTCGTGCATCAAAAAATGGGAGAGGTGGGGCTGGGTGGAGAGGGGAGGGTGGGGAAGGGCTGGGTGGGGAGGGTGGGGAGGGACTGGGTGGGGGGTGGGAGGGGTGGGGCTGGGTGGGGAGGGGCTGGTCACCCCGTGGTGCCCTTATAAAACTCAACGTTTAACCTACTCACGCCGGCTTGTGCCCACCCTCACAGTCGGGCATATTTGCGGAATACACCACGCCGCCGTTGACCCTGGCCATTGGCCGAGCAACCCAACGTTCCTACCAGCTCCCTCCGCAGGAATGTGTTACTAGGAAATGTGAAATTGTAGTCGTTCCTCTGCATCTACATCAGCCGGACGGAAAAAAGAAGTGGTGGTCCCTGGGAATGTGTGCCTTGTACAGAACCCGAGTTAGGCTGGAGTACTGGAACCATCGCATTCTCCATAAAAGGCGACAATTGCCAGAGGTGGCAAAATGCTGCCTCGCCTGGTATCTCTGTACAGGAGGTCGTGGGTCATGGGTTCGCCTGGTGTACAGGAGATAGTTGAATGGATCCCGACCCTGACGCCTGCTGTATATTTGGAGTCTGCATGTTCTTTGCATGATTTATCTCCGGGACCTCAGATTTTTCTCTTCACATTAAGAATCAATGTTGCGTTTAGAGTATTTGGCTGCTATAAATTCCCACGCGAAAATCCACCTCGTTGAGCCATCATTTGTGACCAGGTGCACTTATGAAAAATAGTTACTGTATACAGCTCAGTGGGCCTTACCTGGGAAAAATAAAAATAAATAGTAAAAACGAATACAGTTTAATACGTAGGCTTTCGCCTCATCAGACTGTCACCTGAGGTTGGTTGCAGTTTAATACTGGTGAAACGTCGTACTCGAATTGTAAATGCTGTGGGTTTTACTCTCAAACACACCGGTGTGCTGAACTAGTATCGAATTGACATGTTTTGTTTACGTGACAACCCTTCCTGATTGGCTTGTGTCGGGTGGTGGCAGCTTTAACGACACGTTAAAATTTACGCCGTCTAATCCAAAAACCCTCTATTATAGAGTTGTAATTCAGTATATCCACAAGGTGGCAGCACTGAGCCGTATTTTCACAAAACCCTGCATTCACCCATGCCTCCCTCTTGGTCATCGCCACTGCGTTTCCCTGTATTGATGGAACCATCAACCGCACCAGAATACATTAACAGGCCGGTGTGCCACATCTCCTTTTGTGAATGGATTGTCAAAGTAAATACACAAGCCACAGGAGTGCGATTGTGGCCATGCAACCCAAACTATGAACCGTAGAGTGCAGTTGTTTGCACTCCTTCCACAGAGGAAGAGCAAAACAACACGAACTCTCTCTTGAAACCCTCTCGTCGTGGCCATCCGCAAAAATATATTAGATGACGAGAGTGATGATAGTTCTGGTGATGGTGGCAATGATGGTCGTGGTGGCAATGATAGTTGTGGTAGTGTTTGTGATGAGGATCCAAAATATAGGGGTTTTTTTTGGGTTAGATCGCGTAAATATGAATGTCGTTAAACCCGCCACCACCCGACACAGCAAATTAGTAAGATTTGTCACGTAAACAGAACATGGCAATTCGTCACTAGTACAGCACACCGGTGTGTTGGAGAGCCAAGCCACAACATTTACAATCTGAGTACGACGTTTCGTCAGTAATTACAACTAGCTTCATCAACTGTAATTACTGACGAAACATCGTACTCAGATTGTAATTGTTGTGGATTTTCTCTCCAACACAC